GAGAGAGAGAGAGAGAGAGAGAGAGAGAGAGAGAGAGAGAGAGAGAGAGAATCACTTCTGGACCTTCATTCCAGGGTTCCATTACCAGGGTTTCTGATCCAGTAGATCTAAACTAAGATGGCAGAATTTCTATTTGTAATAGGCTCCCAGATGATGTCAATGCTTCTTCTTCTGGGAATACAGTTGGAAAACATTTGGACTAGAAGGCTCCGGTCAGCCCAAGATGCAGAGAGAACGAGAGGGACCTCCCACCCCAAAGCTGCAGTGTCTGCCACTGTCTCCAGGGTCAGGGCCACTGTACATCACTCATTCCTGACAGTCTTACTTTCATGCCGTATCTACATTTTATTCAGCCGTCTAACCAGTCGGTCAGTTTCAGAGTTATATATCTCTATGTGGTTTTTCTTCTTCTTTTTTTCACATAGAGTGAAATGGACGAGACACAAATCCAACTGGCTGGGGACGATGTGGATTTGCCAGAAGATCTCCGAAAGATGGTAGACGAAGACCAAGATGAGGAAGAGGAGAAGGATTCTATCCTTGGGCAGTTGCAGAACCTCCAGAACATGGACTTGGATACCATTAAAGAAAAGGCACAAGCCACCTTCACAGAAATCAAACAGTCCGCAGAACAGAAGTGTTCTGTGATGTGAGTGAGAGGTGGCAGGCCAGGTGGAGGGAGAGAGGTAGGCTACGTTCAGGAAGACGTGGCTCCTGGGGGTGGGGACGACCAGCATGCATTATAACTTAGCACATATATTTAGAGAAGCCGCCATGATGATGAAGCTGTCTACCGGCATGTAGACAGCAATTTGGTCAATCTCGTTGTCCCAGGCACGACACTAACCAGGCCCTCACAGCACAGAACGTGTTTCCCTTTAGTTATAGCCACAAGTAACTAAGAAATATCAGTCATAAATCATGGTGTGAGGTCATCTGGTTAAAGATCTTTAGGACAGCCAGGAGGAGCCAAACAAAAGCAAGTCTCCAACTTTCTTCCTTAGCGAGCAGAGTCTCACGATGCCCAACCGTCAGCATGATACCAGTTACCTCCTGAGAAAAGGCTGCTCACCTGGTACCCAGACTACAGGCGACAGAGCAGTCAGGTATATCACACTGCTTTTTACTTCCAGCATCTTTGCTATCCATGATCTTTTTTTTTTTTCTTAAAATTGCCTCTCAGACAGTGTGCAAGCCATTTTGTGTTTCTGTGACCAAATATCTGGCATATGCATCATAAACGGAAGAAAGACTTATTCGGGATCATGGTTCAGAAGATCCAGTCCATGGTTGCTTGGCTGTGTAGGATTGGGCAGAATACCATGGCAGGAAGGATAAAGAAGGGAGTGGCCTCTAGGAACAAGAAATGCACAGTGATCTACTTCCTTAAGCTAGGTCCTACCTCCTAAGGTTTCCAGAACCTCAAAAAAAAATCATTAAATGGACACTTCATGTTGACAACCCCAAATGTCCCAATACCATTTGTCACTGTCCCAATGAAGACTACCAGCTGGAACACAAACCCCCAACACATGATCCTTTGAAGGGAACATTCCTTATCCAAGCTACTACAGACATGATTCAGCCAAGTGGCGGTGATACTCAGGGATGTGGTCAAAGACAAGAAGCACAGGCAGAAAGTAGACGTCACCAGCCCTCTGCACTGGGGTGGGGGAGGTGGAGAGTCACCAGCAGGTGCAGAATGACCTCAAAGGTGGCAATGTTTAAGGTTCAGGAGCACTAGGACAGCTATTTGTGAGTGGAGGACCATTCCTTCTGTCTGAACTCTGATAGTAAGCTGTCATTCTTTGTCCTTTCAGCTTTCCCCTTCCTCATCTCTTTTCCTGTTGATTTAATTCCACCCTTCATCCCGCCTTCCAGGATACTGCCCTGCCATTCTGAGCTAGTTCTCAGGGTAGACATCACTGTCTCTCTCCTAAAGATGATGAGTCAAAGATTTGCCTCTGAAGCCCTTGGAGCTGTTTAGCCAACAGCAACCGAAACAAAACCAAAGGAGCTCTTTAGTGAATCTATTCATAGAACGAATAAGGGTACAGAACACTTCTATCAAGAAGAAATTCTCTATTCAAGGGTAATAAGATAATAACATGGCTGTATACCCAGATTCCTGGATGAAGTGTACAAGATGCAGCTTCATAAAAGCATGCTAATAAAACCAAGCAGCAAAGTTCAGAACTGATGGCTCTTGGCAATGTTTAGCTGCTCTCAGACATTCCTGGAAGATGCTGGTGCTGTAGCCAACCACAGCTTCTCACACCATGGACACAGTTTAAGGACGTACTCAACTCCTATCATGATGAGTATATGAGTTGTGGTTCATTTTATAAGAAATAAAAAGGAAACTTTAAGATGTAGCTTTGAAGAACGTGTTCAGGTGATGCCTGTCTCTGGGCTCTAGTTGATGGAGTGGTGGGCTGGGCTTGGTGAGAGACTGGGTCGGTCTGAGGCTTGTACATTCTGTGATAGAAAACACTGTGTCTAATTATTCAACAGAGCAGCTGCAGGATGGCACAAAGACCTGCTTTCTTATAAATTATGAAGCCAATGTATCCAAGGAAGTCACCAAATGGCCCACTTCAATCTTGATAGCCCAAATTACCACGATACCATTTGGTGATTGTCCCAATGGAGCTGCATGGCCTGTGGAGGCGTGGCATGATCCCACTTGAGTCACAACATGTCCCACTGCAGCATCACACCACAGAGCTCCACACTGTAGCAGCATACCATAGCTCCTCTACCATACCATACCATACCATACCATACCATACCATACCATACCATACCATACCATACCAT